CATATAGGGCGGAAATCCACAGAAGCAGCAACAGAAAAGTAGGGCGGAAATTGGCATCAGCGGGGCTTGAAAAGTAAGGCGGAAATTCCAAGCCCCACTTACGAACTTCCCCAAAGTAGGGCGGATCCAGAGTCAGGGGAAGGCTCAGGGTGAAATCCGTATGGGCTTTTGCACCTCGAAAACCAGTCCGTCTTGCGATTCACCTCTTGCGGATTCAAGCCTCGAGCATCAATCGAAACGGCATTTCAGATTTCACCCTTTGCCCTCCACCCAAAGAAAAGATGCTCGGGTGAGGTGGACGCTCCTAGGAAAACAAACTCTCTATACGCCGACGCTGTTATTCCTTGGCCCTGCGCCGACACTTGCACGGGAAAAAGCGGATCCTGGTGTACATATACGGGATCACGGTGTAGTATACATGTTTCGCTGCTTCCCTGGGAACGCGGGGCTAAAATGTACACCACACCACCCCTGGACCACAATGACAAAGCAAACGACACCACCCCACCTACGGCCCCATGGGGCTTGGCGTATACCAAGAAATCTGACGTGGGCTTTTGCGTGGTATACGCTCAGGCCCCATCGGCTGTAGCGCAACATGGAGGGCCGTAGGTGGGGTGGTGTCGTTCGTTCGTTGGTCGAACCCCGACGTCTTCCCCGACACTCAAAAAGAAGTCCAGGTATTGAAAGCCAGCCCGCCGCTGGAAGTGCAGGTGCTCCAGTGTCCGACCTCTCCTTCCCCCATCCGCGTAAGGGGCCCGCCCGGCGAGGCGGCCACTCTGGAGCGGCTCGTGCCATCAGGACCCTCAGAGCCCTCCTCCTCCTCCTCCTCCTCCTCCTCCTCCTCCTCCTCCTCCTCCTCCTCCTCCTCCACCTCCTCCTCCTCCTCCTCCTCCTCCTCCTCCTCCTCCTCCTCCTCCTCCTCCTCCTCCTCCTCCTCCTCCTCCTCCATGTTGCAGTAGTAACTGTCAACGAGACCAGGGTGCGGGAGCGAATCCCATGTCACTGCACGGTGATTTGCCCCCAGAGCAGATTACGAGCATACAGGTAGAAACCAAACTAGTGGGATTACGATGTTTTGAGCGTTCCCAGGTGCCCGATTCGAGCCAAAATCCCGGGTGCCCTATTGGAGCCTATACGGGTGCCCGATTCGAGCCAAAATCCAGGGCCCTCGTGAGCCAGATATTGCTGCATGAGAGTCGTACGATCGATTCGTACGGGATGTATCCATGATGTTCGTTGTACGTGCAGAGACATGACGTCTCCTAGAGCTGGGGTTTCGGCCCCACAAGAGTTACCCGCGCAGCAAGGCTGTTAGGGCCAGGGACTACGGACCACTGCATAGCAAGTTCGCGGTAGCCCCTGGCCCGCTGATTCGACCGGATCAGCAAGCCAGCCATACAGGTAGAAACCAAGCTAGCGGGATTACGATGTACAACTGTAGGGCCCTGGCTCGCAGGCCAGAGGATTTATTAATCAATTCTTGGCGCGTTCCACGGCCACCCCAGTGAGTTAGGCACCCCAGCATCAACAACATGCCTTTTCTGGGGTGGTACAGCCCCATAATGTCAAAGTAAACGTTTGCCCCTCTCGGGGTGAGATGTGCATGAAGCGTCTGTTATTTTTCCCCCCCGTCGGGCCGCTATGGAGGTAGGTTTCCGACGGTGTCGGAAACCTCCTCGGGGGTAGGTTTCCGACGGCGTCGGAAACTTCTAGGACCCCTCACACTGGGGCTTTACCCCTTCCGGCGTCGACCCCTAAAGCTGGGGCTTCGGCCCCACATGCGCTACCCGCGCCGCAAGGCTGCTAGGGCCAGGGACTACGGACCACTGCATAGCAAGTTCGCGGTAGCCCCTGACCCGCTGATTCGACTGGATCAGCAAGCCAACAATACAGAACAGGGTGGCCCTCCACCCGCGGGGCCTTGGCCCCTAACTCCATCCTCCGAAACCCCGCCCTAAGGAGGCTAGGGCGGGGTTTCATTTTGAGCGCTCCCAGGTGCCCGATTGGAGCCAAACTTACGATGTACAACTGTAGGGCCCTGGCTCGCAGGCCAGAGGATGTATTAATCAATTCTTGGCGCGTTCCACGGCCACCCCAGTGAGTTAGGCACCCCAGCATCAACAACATGCCTTTTCTGGGGTGGTACAGCCCCATAATGTCAAAGTAAACGTTTGCCCCTCTCGGGGTGAGATGTGCATGAAGCGTCTGTTATGTTTCTCCCCTTCGGGCCGCTATGGAGGTAGGTTTCCGACGGTGTCGGAAACCTCCTCGGGGGTAGGTTTCCGACGGTGTCGGAAACTTCTAGGACCCCTCACAATGGGGTTTTACCCCTCCGGCGTCGACCCCTAAAGCTGGGGCTTCGGCCCCACATGCGTTACCCGCGCCGCAAGGCTGTTAGGGCCAGGGACTACGGACCACTGCATAGCAAGTTCGCGGTAGCCCCTGGCCCGCTGATTCGACCGGATCAGCTAGCCAGCCATACAGGTAGTAACCAAACTAGTGGGATTACGATGTACAAGTGTAGGGCCCTGGGCTAGCAGACCAGAGGATTTAGAAGCCCTCCGCCTTGAATTTCCTAAACAATGCTCGCAAGACGCTAACTCTACCATGCTTCTGCTGCCACTCGCCCTGCTGCCCTGACCAAGCAGAGGAAAAAGAGCCACACTTTGTTGTGGCATCCTGGGGCCATCGCCAAGCGGGGATGGCAACCCAGAAAGCCGGTTTCATGTCGCTTTCGCGGTCTTGCTAAAAACTACGGCCGTTCAGACCGTTACGCGGGCCACTGGCATCAGCATGCGACTGGAACGCTCACGGCATCCAACCTCGCAGGGGGAAGTCACCCCGATGGGGCGACGCCCCGTTTGTGCCGCTATCGCGCGGCACAGGTGCTAGTATGTGCAGAGAGGCAGCCATCTTCACAGGGGGGTCCCCCCCGAAGTGGCACTCAGCACGCAAGCATCGCAGGCTGCCTGCATGGGCTGGGGCCCCTGCCGCTTTGCCACACCTGCGCTGGGGCTGAAGCTCCCAGCGTCTGCCCGACCTGCCAGGGTCCCTGCACTAAGTGCAAGAGCCCCTGAATTCAGCGGCGGGGAAGCAATCGGGCCCACCTTGGGATCCGCTTCCTCCCCGGAGGGGAACCGCTGGGCAGTGCACGCCAGGAGTCAAATTGCGGACCACTGCTGCGGCAAGTTCGCTCCCCCAATATGGGATGCCACCCCGTAGGAGCCCCGATTCGACAGGATCACTTTGGGGCATGGGGTGAGGAGGGGGTGGCGGCCAGCGAAATCGATAAAGAGGTGGAACATCGACGGGTGTTCCTCACTAAGCACCTCAGTATCGTGGCTATCCGTCATCCCCCAGCTTTAGTCTGCGCGGCGGACACCCGCATCGGCCAGACCCCGCCCCCCTAGGGGCTGAGGTGCGAGTGCACGACCCGCTGACTAAGGATACATCCGAGACAATCCTCCTCCTCCTCCTCCTCCTCCCTCCTCCTCCTCCTCCTCCTCCTCCTCCTCCTCCTCCTCCTCCTCCTCCTCCTCCTCCTCCCTCCTCCTCCTCCTCCTCCTCTCTCCTCCTCCTCCTCCTCCTCCTCCTCCTCCTCTCCTCCTCCTCCCTCCCCCCTCCTCCTCCTCCTTCTCTTTTTCCTCCTCCTCCTCCTCCGCCTCCTTCTCCTCTTCCTCCTCCTCCTCCCCTTCCCATTGCTCCTGCAAGTATTCATATCTTCCTCTTCCACCTCTGTTCATCTTCCCCCAATCCAAGAAGATGAGGAGAACGAGGAGAAGGAGGAGGTCACATCTTGTCGGACCCATCCGCAGGGTATCCAAGACATGAAGTGGACCCCTCACCAGGACCCTTGTCCGATTTCGGATGCATGCGCTCGCCCCAGGTCTTTCGGGGCGAATGGGGAATACAATCAGAAGGGGGAGAAAGAGTTGGCAAGGATGATGTTCCGCCTCAGTCCTCGTGCCCGGTTCCGTTCGATCGACGCGGTCCTGGAAAGAGGGCATAGCTAAACAAGCCCCGCCGCTAGCAGTGCGACAGGCAACTGCAACTGTGGCTGCGACCAGCGCTCAGCGTTAAGACGGCGCGGCATCCCAGTGCCGAGCCTAATCTGCCATACGACATCACAAAAAAACGTGTCAGGCCGGTCGCCATATTCGGCGGTGGCGTGAGGGTAACATTACAGGAGTGGCAAGGGGCCCGAATTAGACGGGCCAAAACAATCCGGAGAGCGAGATGTCGTGCGAAAGATCTGTAAGAAGTGAAACAAGCACGAGCCCACAATTCAAAGGAGGCTGAGCGCAAGCTATACTGAGCCGGACAACACAAGACGATCAGGAAGACGAAGGGAGAGCGGAGTGGAGGGGGAGAGTGAGGAGGATGGATGGGGGGGTTCTGGGGGGGAGGGGGGCGGGTGGGACAGAGTAGGGGGGGAGGGGAGGCTGCCTCTACTTCTTGACAACCGAAACTGGGAAACAATAGAAACCATCTGGGACAGAGTTGGACATTTTAGAATCTGCGGGCTTTCGGCAGATGGCGCTGCGTTTCCGCTCTGGCCTACTTCCCCGTAAAAGGCGAGACCCACCCGAATTCCCAAGAACAGTGCGCCTCGTACAGAACGACCAAAATAAACTCAAGCGTCGTTGCGACTGGAGAAGTGGCTGCCAACTTTGACCCCATCTGCCCGAACCAGTAGCACGCCCCCCCCCCGGCATATGAATTTCGAAAAAAAACATGTTGAAATTGATTGGGCATCCTCTGGCTACATTGCAACATCAACTGTTTCCCCCTACATCCAGAGTGGTTTACGGGAATCCAGGGCGTCTTGCTCACTCTCAGTATGCTAATCCTGCGACCGAGGGCAATGCGTAACCAGCATCAGAGACAGACGCTGCGTGATCAAGCTTAATGTTGTCATCCCCTGATGGGTGGTGAGACTCTGCATGGCAAACCGTACTGATGCTGAGAAAGCAACAAAAAGAACATGCTCACATCACTCAAGCTTCAAGCTTGCCCGCACCATCTTCGGCTTCGTCGCGCCAGAACGCCTCAACGACACGGCAAACAAATCATGTACAGACTAGGCACCCTAGAAGCAGACCGCTGCCACAGCCTCAGTCCTGACGCGCGCACCCCCCACACACACACACACACACACACACACACACACACACACACACACACATCCGCTTCATGTCTTGCTTGCCCTGTCCAATTCCCCTTTATTGTTGTGCTGAGCAGCGCCGTGCTAATCGCAGAACCCCCTGACTACGGATTGCTTTCAAGAGCACAGCCGCACAGATGGCGTGACTCCTGCTGAGAACTCTACGGGTCAGGGAGACATGGCAATCCTTCGTGCTTGCCGTTCGAGGAGTCTGTCCAGATGGGGTGTCAAACCCCCAACCTTGGCACCCTCTTGCGAACTCAGAGCACATGTGCCACCGCCAGTTTCCACAGGGCGACTTTGGACGAAGAATGAAAAACAAGTCAAACATTACTCCATAGTGGTCATCCTCCACTGACTATTTCCGGACTATGTTTGAATTTTCCTCCTGAGGACGAGGAGGAGGAGGACGACGACGACGAGGAGAGGGGCACTACCCCAGAACGGCCTTCTCAAACCGCTGCGGGAGAGGAGCATCCCGCCACCGCGCCTGTGGAGGCTGTCGAAGCGCTCGGGGCCCCCGTGGGGGTCTCTGGAGGGCCTCCAGAGAGTCTGTAGAGGGCTCACACGGAGGTCTGGGGCCGTAGGAGGGAATGTGGGCCGAGGAAATGAGGCATGGATTGCGGCGCGTGGATTCGCGACGGGCCCCTCTCCGTAGCCAAATCGGCGGCACTGGCTTCATGTTCCGCGGGGCACTGTCCCCGAACCGCGGATCTATCGCTTACGCGCCAGAACCACGGACACCTAATCAATGTTGGCGTGTGTCCGAGTGTGTACCTGACGCGGTGCAAGTTCTGCGGCCCTGGATTATCTCTATTTTCGTCGACGTTCTCGGACGGCCGCGGCATGGCGGGTCAGCTCTGGGGTCGAGCTCGTCGAGCCGAGACTGTCCAAGGCGTTGCAAAAGGGGCTCTTCTTCGAGGGGCCGAGGGGTTGCCGCCTCGCCGTCGGCAGAAGCTGGCGGCAGGCCCCCGCGGGGAAGTGCCAGGTTGACCCCCCAAGAGGTCGAAGCCCGAGTACCCGTGGCTTCCAGCGTCGGCACTGTGGGAGGTGCCTCTCGCGCCAGGTGGCCCGACCGGGCAGCACATAGGGCACCAGTTTTGTCGTGCGGCCCCGCGCGGAGCAGGCTTATGTCGGGCGTGTCCCCCTACAGGGGGATTGTCGACGAAAAATAAAAAATACCCCAAACATATTTCAAAAAGGTCCAAGAATACTCAAAAAATAGTCCCCAGACTATTTTTGGATTATTTTTTCTCATTTTGGGGGTATTTTTTTTTGTTGACAATCCCCCTGAGGCCCGACTTAAGAGCAGGCGGAAGCGTCAACCGCAGGCGCCGCCGCCCTTTGCGCACACAGCGGATCCCAGAGGGGGGCCCAGGGCCTCTGCCTCCGCTGGCCCCGCCGCCGCAGCGGGACCCTTTTGCAGGCCTTCCCGCGGGGCCCGCGGGCGCCCAGGGCCTGGGCCCCTCTGCGTTCAGAAGAGGAGGTCCACTGCACGCGCGCGCACTCGGCGTGGGCGGTCGCCGAGGAGCGTGCCCGGGAGGCCTCAGGCCCTCGAGGCGTCCCTGTCCGAGGAGGGCGTCGGTGCTGCGCGTGGCCAATGCCCGAGCGGAGTTCCAACAGCTCCCAGATCCTGGGCTCCTCGCGCCATGGCTCCCCGGGCGAAGTTCGCCCGACGGGGCCCCCCGAAGCCGTGAGCTTCGGCCGCACTGCCGTGCGTCCCGCCTGGACCCGCGCGACGCCGCGGGTCCCTGCGGGCCAGACTCCCAAAGGGCCAGGGTCCACAGCCCGCCCCCGTCCCCCCAGCCGGAGGAACAGGTGGGCACTGCGATTCCAGTGGCAAGTGCGTGCGCGCGGAACCAGCCCACACGCTGAGTCTGCTCGCGCGAGCGGTTTCTCCCCGCTCGGGCCCACTCTTCCACCCTGCCGAGAATCGGCGGCGAGCCCGCGGGGGAAGTGAGAAGGGGCGGGCCTTCTCGGAAGGCTCGCAAGTCCCCCGGACCTCTGAGAAGTTTTCGAAGCTTCCCCCGAAGCCGCAGAAAACTTCTCAGCAGGCGCGAGGGGCTCCTGAGAAGTCCCGCCGCCTCCTGAGGAGGCCTCCTCCTTCTCAGTTCCCCCTCTGGCTCGCCGCCGAGAGAATAGTCTGCTGCGCTCCGACGAGTGCTGCTGGCCGCCCAGGGATCCCGGCGCGCACGGAGCGATGCCGCTGCGGGCCGCAGGGCACGAGAGCGGGGCGGCACTGTCCCGGGGCCCGCCGGGGCACGAGCGGCACCGGCCCCATCACGACGCCTGCCGCGGCCGTCGCGTCGTGGAGCTGCCCCGCCGAAGCGCCCGCGCTGGCGCTGCGGTGTTATCCTTGCGTGAGTCGGGCACGTCCCTCTACCGGTCCTCAAACAGACCGGCCCGCTGAACGAGCGGACTTCTGCAGCGGTCCTTCGTCTTCTCCTCCTCCTCCTCCTCCTCCTCCTCCTCCTCCTCCTCCTCCTCCTCCTCCTCGTGCCGAGGCCAAGAGAGCACCCCCAGCGTAGAGGACGAGAGCTGTGCACACGTGCACCGATCCTGGCCATGCCCAGCCAAAAGGGCCAGGAGACAGCGGCGCACGCGCCCCTGCGGGCGTGGCTGGGAGGGCTCGTGCGCAGATCCTGGGCTTGGGAGGGGCGTGGCCAGGATCGGTGCATGTGCAGTTGTGGATGCCATGACAATGGACACTCTAACAATCCTACCATTGAGTTAGACATGTGCTTAAAATGTTTAAAACATGTTCTAAAAACATCAAACTTGTTGTTACATATTTAAAACCTGTCTGAAACATGTTGTAGACATCTGGAAATTATTTGGCAGCATGCTTCCTCTCCATTAATTGACTTCCACGAATGTGCAGCGAAGGCGTGTAGCGAGGACGGGTGGTAAGGAGGCCCTTGGAAGACGAAGCTGGGATAGTCTGGGCGGCGGGCGACCCAAAAACCCCCAGGTACCCTGAGAGGCTGGCCAGTGGAAGCGGGGAAAGACGGGCCGCAGAGGCAAGGACACAAGGGTACCCCAGAAAAGGCGCGCGTCCTTGCTGTGCGCGTTGACTGTATGCACAGCTCTCTTCGCCCGGCATCAGAGTTCCAGCCCACAACCCTCGACGGTTCCCCGCAGTGGGAGGCATCCACCGCCGCTGAACAGTTCTGTTCGGGCTGCGCAGGTGCTGTTATGAGTGCTGGCGGCGCCAGCCAAGCTCGCCTTCAGCATGGGACCTCCCCTCTCCTATCCTTCGTGGACGCCTGACGCAACACCAACGCAAGATGTGAACACCGTGTTGCCCATATGAAGTTGTTGGCTAATGATATTAATTCCCGCATACCGCCGTAAACACACCGATAAGTCGCTGACATCTCAAACTAAGACCTTGGAGCTTAGCCTTCAAACGGTTTGGCCTTCCCCCGCAGCGGCCACGGCCCAATCAAACACCTCCCCTGGGCCCCTCTTCCCCAACTCCTTCCTCTCTTACTGGAAGAAGGGGGAAGGAGGCTGAGCCACAGGGGATCCCACACGCGCAAGATCCCGCACCCACGCCCACCTTGGGAGCGCCCTGAAAATCATTGCCCTCCAACGGCGTCGTAGACACCTGCGAGCCAAGTCGGAAGGGAACGAGGCACACGCCCGAGAGAAAGGGGCGGGCGCCTTCGCCCCCGAACGTGTGCTGCGCTTGCGGCCGTTCATCCTGTCCACCAGGATCTCGCGGTGGTTCCTCCGAGGGGCTTTCGGAAACGACGCAGGAGAGAGGAAGAACTGGGGGAGAGAAAGGGTGATGGACAGCGGAAGACGACGGGAAGCACACCCATACGCAAAATACACGCACACCATCCACACACAAACACGCGCACACAACAAACCAAGCAGTTGAAACAAACAACCACTGCAACACAGCATCGACCCACCACGCAGCGAGAGGGCGGCCGGAGCGGGAAGGAGTGCCAGGGAGCGGAAAGGGCGCGGGGGTGGCTGCACGACGGGAGGGGTGGGGATATGAGAGGCGGCGGCCAGCCGACGCCGTCGTCTCCTCCCTCCTCTTCCTCCTGCTCCTCCTGCTGCTGTTTCTCGTGCTCCTGTTCCTGCTCCTGTTCCTCCTCCTGCTCCTACGACTCCTATTCCTCCTCCTCCTCCTCCTCCTCCTCCATCCTCCTCCTCCTCCTCCTCCTCCTCCTCCTCCTCCTCCTCCTCCTCCTCCTCCTCCTCCTCTTCCTCCTCTCCCTCCTGCTCCTCATCGTCCTCGCGCGTGGGGTGCGCAGCAGGCAAACCCTTTCGCTGCACCGCCTAACGCCGCAGCCTCGCCCGCACGACGAGCAGGAAAGCGAGGGCCTGCCTCCTGACGAAGGGCCTGTAAACGCGGGCACGTCTGGCCCGCAGCTCTGCGTACTGAAGACAGAACACGATCGGCACTTCGAGACTGTCGGGAGCCGGTTCAACCAGGCCCAGGAAATCAATCCCGGATCCCATCCCCACGTCCACAACACCTTTCCCACGATCTCCACTTCAAGCTCACGCATGGGCACACACACATTGTCATTGGTGGCGTATGCAATCTGGCCCTGAGCATCCGAAGACACATAGGGGATTCCACATGGTGGAACCTCTCTTGTGGAAGCCAAGATTTGGACAGCGTCCGCACTAACGCGATCGCGTGAGATAATTACAGGTTAAACATTTTATGGGAGACGGCCTCCCAGTTCACAGCACCGATTTTCTATCCGAGCCTAGGAAGCCAGCTCCGAAGCTGGCGGGAGACAAGGAACTTCAACGCACGCGAGGGGAAAATTGTGGCTGCCAATAAGGCGGGAAAACGATTTGGGATCCTAACCCGCGGCGGGCGCCACTTCTCGCGGGACAGGGAGGCGGCCTCAGACATCAGCCTACGCCCTTCCTCATGCCCTGGCGCCACATGCTTCAGGTTGGGGTCGTCGGGGAAGCCAGCGGCAGCCGGCAGCGACCATCAAACGTTGACGCAAGGCGGGTTCACCCCACCATTCGGGAGACTATTATCCTCGCACGACTCCAGCAGTAGGAACACGCCCCGCCGCTTGGTCTCTCAGCCGACGGGCGAAGGCAAGCCAGCAGGCAGCGAGCGTCGAGATGGCCGCTCACCGCGCGCCGCGCATGCCGAAACCGAGCACGATGGGACTCGAGGCCCCCTCATTTCCCCGCCCCGAACCATTCGACGCGACCGAGGGCACAGTGTTGGAGGCCTGGGAATGGGCACCAACACCAACACAGGAGTTTGCCTCCTCAGGGGGATCCTCGATTTCAGTGTTGCTGGGATTTTCCGGCCATCTTGGAAGCCAGAATATGACCAACATCTCCGAGATGGGATTTCTTCCCTCGGTGGAGGCACGCCGCCGATACTGGTGCTGGTGTCGACCTCTAGGCCTTCGACAATGCGCGAAGTGAAAAATCTCGGCCAGCATGGCTGCCCCCTGTCAGGGCAGCTCTCGAAGCAGAGAAAGGAACCGGGCCATTTAAGACGGGACCGTCGCGCAGCGCGAAATGCTTAGCCGGGCTGCCACCCTGGTCGGCGAGCAGGCCCCCGCAAGCCGATGGCCCTTAGAGCGCCGCTTTCCAAGAAGCGCCCCCCACGATTTGGCGCCAAAATTCGGACCCAGCCACACCCACAGATACTTTGGGTTCGGGGCGACCACAAAATCCGACAAGTCGGGGGTGCCGTTCGACATGGTCCTTGAACGTCTGGGCGCCGTGATCCCAGCGAAGGCAGAGCGGGGCGATGAAGCACTTGCGCGTTTTAAAGGCCAGCGCGCCAGCTTCTGGGCCTAATGGGAGACCCCATGGGGAACCGCGATGAACCTCAGCTTCGAAATCGTCGCCGCACTCACGTGGCCCGCGCAGGCCCGGGCAACGCCGCGCGCGAGAGAGAGAGAGAGAGAGAGACGATGCTGCGTTCGAAATCTAGGAGGAGCGGGTTCAAGCTCGCCACGAAGAAAGCCCCACTTGCCAGGCACCCCTGGAACATCACAGGCCAGACCTTGAAAATCCAGACGGCGTCGCCACCCAGGGGCCCGAAGTACTGGACATCCCGATAGAGAACCTGGAAGAACCGAGACACCGGCCTGGGCAGAATCATCCGAGCAAGGGCCCCCCTCATCCACGCGCGCGGGCCAGATGGGAAGGCCCAGGCAAAGTCGGGGGAGCAGGCGGCGGGAAGGCGCGCATATGCTGCGTCCGACATCGAAGCGAGACGAGCGGACCCGTCGGGCTCAATGGCCCCGCCCCCGAACTGTCTGCCAATGGTAAGACCCCGGCGGAGCCTGCAGCTGACATCCGCTATCTTCGCCGAGGGCGGACGCGATGCCAGGCGCGGGGGTACCATGCTCTCCGAGTTCTGCGAGCCGAGCGGTCGCGGCGACTGGGCGTCGCGGCTGGCCCCGCTCTCGCCCCCCCCCCACCCCCTCTCGGGCGCGAAGATGCCGAGGAGGGGGGCTGAAGTTGGAGAGGGGGCAAATGCCGCCCACGACCCGCCAGGAATACTCACCCAGCAGCTCAGCTGCCTGGGGCGCGCATCGCCAGGAATTGCGCGGCAACCGATCGGGGCCAGACGCGCAGCCCCCCGGGGTCCGCGGCTTCTTTATTTCAGCAATCGCAAGGGCGCGCGTGTCAGAGGAGACAGCGCCGCCACGGAACCCCCCCGGGCACCCCTGAGCGGGCGGGTCCCAGGACGACTGCCTCGGGACCAGAAACTCGCTGCAGCTCGCAGGAGACATCGACTCGAGCGACGCCGCCGCTTCGCTGCTGAATCTGAGCCCTCCGAGGCACCATCGCCGATCGAAGGGGGGCCAGATCGCAGCGCGCCGTGGGGGCCGGCGTTGCCGTTGACGACGTGCGCGACGGAGCTTCTCGGGCGCCCCATCGTCGCCGGCGCCCCCGAGGGCAACTTGCCGGTCTCAAGATCGGGGCTGCAACTGATCAAGGCCCGGAGCAAACGCGCAAGTGTCGATGTGCCACAATCGCCCGCCGCAGACATCACGGCCGAGCAGCGCGCGCGCAACTGGGCGCGCCCGGAGAAAAGCGGGGCCGAGCATCGCCCCCTGCCTTCGCGCAACGCGGGCCACCGAGCGACGCGGAGTGAGGCGATCAAGCCGGGACGAAGGGTCACGATGCAGCAGTAAATGCGCCCCAAATGAATTTCGCCCTTTCAACCACGAGCTATTCGAAAGACCCATCCACCTTCAGCGGCGGGGAAAGACCTCCCCGAGAGACATCTCCCGAGTAGGCAGCTCTGGAAGCACGGTGCCAAAGAGCCCCCCGAAGATTGGGCGCCCCTCGGCGGGGGTCTTCGGGCCCCCCGCCGAGGCCCACAAAGACGGGGCCGCGGTCGGAGATGTTGGAGCACCGCAAAACTTGGGCAACATCTGTCGCAAGTCCCAAGGCATTCACTTGCATGATTCCCCACCCAGGAAGCGAAACAAATGTCATGTCCATGATGCGCGTGGAATCGCTCGCTCAAGCATTGCGCGCGGGGTCATCTTGTTCGGCGCCCACCATCTTACTGAATGAATCGAACCCATAGGGCCCCACTCCGCCCGCCACTCGCGGCGGCGAAGTTCGGGCGAACCTCTCCGCCGGGCAAGCCTGGGCGCAGAGGTCGAAGGCGTTCGGCGAAATCGCCGGCCAGGACCACCAAGGCGCGGTCAGGGAAACGCTCTGCCACGCTGGACTCGCCCACGATGGTTTTAATATCATTCCTCTTCTTGTCCCTGGACAACCCTTTACTGCGGACGTTCCACTGCGATATCCAGCAACCCCAAGACTTAAAGAAACGCGAAGCCACGTTCAACTCTAGCCCTGGGACCACGACCCATTCACAGAAGGTAGCCTGAGCACCCAGATCTGCACATAATTTTCGCAGGCCGCCGACATTCGCGCACTCCGCGCCCTCGCCCGAACCGAAAGAGGAGTGGGACATCTTGACGGGCCTGTTGTTCATCCAATGCACCATGCCCTCTGCCTCCGCGAGCGCCCCGTGGGTTCGATGGATCCCGGGGGCGGTGGTCGAGGCGAGTGGAGCCCCGAGGCAGGCGACCCCCCCCCCCCCACACACACACGGAGGTGAGCGCCGTGGCGCGGCAGGGCTCGAGCGTTCCAGCTGGCGACCGCCAAACTTGATCGCGTAGCAGACAACCCCTGCCACGGACAAAGTACACCTGCTAAATGACACCAGTTTGTTCTCCACGAAGAATTTAGCCACGGCCCGGCGCTTGGCCGCCGCGCCCACGCCCGGGGCAACCATGCTCTTCTCGCCGAAGTGGATGGTCGGCGGCCGCGCGCCAGGAGCAGGCACGAACGAGACCAACTTCTTCCAGCTCGAGCTGGCCACTCCCTTCTACCTCTCTACGAAGCACTTACGCTTCGGGTGGATCTCATCGATAGCCCGCACGATTCTCCTTGCTCCCAGCTCGCGCGCCACGATCCTCGGCCTCTCGTCGGCGACGATGGAAAGCTCCGCCTCGGGACCCCGAAAGGGGGGAGGCGCGGCGATCCTCCTCCATCCTGCTCGGCGACCCGGAAACTCGCGCGCGCCGGCGGCCTGCCCGACCACGCGCCATGCATGGCCTCGCTGGCCCTTGGCCATGATCTGGTAGCGCTTGTCCACCGGCTCTCCTTCGATGATGAAGGCAATCATGTCCGGGTTGCTACCCTCCAGTCAGGGCTTCACCACCTTGGCCGCGTGCCTCTTCGGGGAGGACACCTGCGCGCGCACGACGATGACCGACGGGTCGATCTCCCTGTCGAAGCCTCCGCCGCCGATGATCCGACGGGCGGGCCCCTCTCTACGCGTGAGCCCCAGTAGCTCACGCAGCTCCTGCAGCTTCTCATCCATTCTCGAGATACGCGTATCATGAATTTCCACTCGATGTTCAACGCGGCACCATCCGCCTGTCCACGGCCTTGTCGATGCTCGCGCATTGCTCTCCCATCGTTGTGCTAAGACCAGACAGCGACTGCTGCATGATCTGGAGGCTGGCCATGAAATCCGAGCGCGCCTTGTCGACGTACGATCTGAGCTCCGAGCGCTCCTTATCTCCACCATAATGAGGTTGGTGGGGTCGAGCGGGGCGCCCAGCTGGAACTCCAGAAGCGACGACGGCGCCCCCGGCGCCAGAAAAGACGAGCGGCGCGAGGCCAGCGGGGGAGGAGCCGCCAGTGCTAGAACGGCCCCCAGCCCCCCACCTCCTTACTCACGTTCAGAAAGCTCGCCATGTCCACGAGGAGTGCGCAGGGACGGCGTCTGCAGGGTGCTCGTGTCCAAGCAGGCCTGCCATTCCGGCGAAGAGAGGACGTCGTCGCCCGCCATCTCGAAGTCCCTGGGCGAGTCCTGAGCTTTCTTCTCGTCGCCCGCCTCGCCCGAGGCAGCTCTCGACCAGAACGCTTGGCGTCAGCAGGCGAGGGCCCCGAGGCGACCGACGCAGCCCGGCCCCCAGCAGCTCAGCAAGAAAAAATACGCGGACGGAGCGAAAGATGGCGCTGCAAGCGCCGCGGCCTCCCGGCGGCCACAAAAGCGGCTCGGGTCGCCCAGGGGGGGGGGGTCCACAGCTAATCGCTGATTCTCGGGCGTCTAAAGTCCTTTACAACGTTAAAAAATGCGCCAACATGGCTACAGGTGCCCCACCTCATCCTCCCTCCTCCTCCTCCTCCTCCTCCTCCTCCTCCTCCTCCCTCCTCCTCCTCCTCCTCCTCTCTCCTCCTCCCTCCTCCTCCTCCCCTCCTCCTCCTCCCCCTCCTCCTCCCCTCCTCCTCCTCCTCCTCCTCCTCCTCCTCCCCTCCTCCTCCTCCTCCTCCTCCTCCTCCTCCTCCTCCCTCCTCTCCTCCTCCCCCTCCCCCCTCCCCTCCCCTCCTCCTCCTCCTCCTCCCTCCTCCTCCCTCCTCCTTCCTCCTCCTCCTCCTCCTCCTCCTCCCTCCTCCTCCCTCCTCCTCCATCCTCCTCCTCCTCCTCTTCCTCCTCCTCCCCTCCTCCTCCTCCTCCTCCTACTCCTCCTCCTCCTCCTCCTCCTCTCCTCCTCCTCCTCCTCCTCCTCCTCCTCCTCCTCCTCCTCCTCCCCTCCTCCTCCTCCTCCTCCTCTCCTCCTCCTCCTCCCTCCTCCTTCCTTCTCCTCCTCCTCCTCCTGCTCCTGCTCCTCCTCCGCTTGCTCCTGGTCCTCCTGATCAACCCTTCTCCCTCTCCTCCTGCTCCTCTTCTGTTCTCCTCTTCCTCCTCCCTCCTCGCTTCATCGCCCCCCCCCCCTCCTCCTCCTCCTCCTCCTCCTCCTCCTCCTCCTCCGCCTCCTCCTCCTCCTCCTCCTTCCTCCTCCTCCTCCCTCCTCCTCTTCCTCCTTCTCCTCCTCCTCCGCCTCCTCCTCCTCCTCCTCCTCCTCCTCCTCCTCCTCCTCCTCCTCCCCCTCCTCCTCCTCCTCCTCCTCCTCCTCCTCCTCCTCCTCCTCCCTCCTCCTCCTCCCTCCTCCTGTTCTTCCCCCCCCTCCTCATCCTCCTCCTCCTCTTCCCCCATCCTCCTCCCCCCGCGCGCGCGCCCGCCTCGGCAGCTGGTTCGTCCCTTCCGCGCGAAGGCAGCCGACGACGGGCCTCATGCGGGCCCGTCTGGCCAGGCTTGAGACCTGGCGGAAGCTTACCTTGGGCGAGTTTCTGGATAATCTTCCTGCCTCCTTCTGCGGGGGCTTGGCAATGATCCACGAATTTCTCGGCAGCACGAATGGTCCAGGCTCCACAACGGGAGCACCACCAAATACCATTCAAAACTTTGAAAACGGGCCGATGACTGGGAAGAGAAACCGCCCCCCCAGGCCCGGGAACGCGGCGCCCGTGACAACATGCGTGCGACCCGCCCTGCGCTGGCCTCGGACGAACCGGCAGCCGGGCAGGGGGGCGCGACGCCCCTTTGCGCGGGCCTCGGACGAACCGGCAACCGGCTGCGGGGGAATGCCTTGGGCCGGCGGGCGCAGGGCCTTGTGCCTGGTTCGTCCCCTCCGCGTGAGGGCAACCGACGACGAGCCTCATGTGGGCCCGTCTGGCCAGGCTTTGAGACATGGCGGAAGCTAGCCATGGGTGAGCTTCTGGATCGCCTTCCTGCCTCCTTCTGCGGGGGCTTGGCAGGGATCCACGAAATTATTGGTGAAACGGATGGTGCGAGCTCCACAACGGGAGCACCACCAAATACCCCTCAAAAATTTGATGAAGGGCCGATGGCTGGGATGAAAACGCTGCTGGGGACCCCTGGGCAAGCAGGGGGCTTCGAGCCACCTGAGGGTCCGTCTAATTACACCTCCTGACCTCCCGCAAGGCTTGCAGGGGATCTCGAGGAGGGGACGGGACGGGGCACACGAGAGACAGTGAGACGTTCTGCTGAGCTCTACCTCGAGGGCTGCTACACTCATATCTACATGTGCCTTCCTACGCTGCTGTTTGATCTCCTCATCCTCCTCCAGGCCCAGGGTCTCCTTGTTTTCCAAATAGTGCTGCTGGATGGAAGCAAGCCTGTCTCGAATGAGATGAGCATGGATGTCGGTTCCTTCGATCTGTCTGACGAGCCAGTCTGGGGCCCGTCTCCAATGGGCTGCCTCGGATGCAAGCTTGTCGGCATGATCGTTGAAATGGGAGGCCCAGAGAGGTTCCCGCGCGGCTTCGAGCTCCGTGAGGTCACCCTTGACGTTGTAGAAAATCAGGTCGTCACGCCTCTGGGCTGCTAGACACCAGAATTTCCGCCACGTGTAGGGGTTCTTGGGGTGCCTGTACTGGGGCCCTCTGGAGAAACCTGATATGACGTAGGCGCAATTTGTGATGACGAGGAGCTGGCCCTGGGTGGACTGGAGGAGAGCGATGACTGCCTCGAGCTCCGCCAGGTGCAGTCTGGGGGCCGATGATGCCCCCCTGAATGGTGCCTCTCCAGGCGAGGTCCTCTGTCCACAGGGAGACACTCCAGCCACAGACTCTGAGTCGGGGGTCCTTCGTCAGAGTCCCGCCGCTGCCGTCCGCTGCCGCCACCTGCCAATCATCAACCCTCCTCCTCCTCCTCCTCCTCTTCCTCCTCCTCTCGTCCTCCTCCTCCTCCTCCTCCTGCGCCTCTTCCTCCTCCTCCTCCGCCTCCTCCTCCTCCTCCTCATCCTCATCCTCATCCTCATCCTCGTCCTTCTTCTCCTCGTCCTGATCGTCCTCCTCCTCCTCCTTCATTCCTTCTCCTCATGAACAGCTCCTCCGTGTCGCAACCCGAGGCCACTCGGAAGGGCGGGCAGGGCGTTTCGCCCGAGACTTCCTTAACACCTATGAGCCTGAAGCTTACACATTGGAACAGCTTCACAGATGGAGGGCAGGTGGTTTTCCAAATGTGGCTCTCCCCTTGGCAACGCGCACACCCATTAAAAAAACGTTGTCAAAGTTTCACAGGTTGAGGGCGGGTGGCTTTCAGCTTGTGACTCTCGCCTCAGCGCCGCGCACATCCGTTTCAGATGTTTGCAAGGGCGTCGCGGATTGAGGGCGGGTGGTTTTCAAAATGTGGCTCTCTTCTTGGCGCCGCGCACACTCGTAGTAAACATGCGCAAGAGTTTCACGGATGAAGGGCGGGTGGTTTTCAAAATGTGGTGTTCGCCTTAGCGCCGCGCACATCCGCTTTTGAAATGAAAAGCTGCAAGAGCTTAACGGATTGAGGGCAGATCGTTTTCAAACTGTCGTTTTGGCCTCAGCGCCGCGCACATCCGACTTTTATTGCTCAAGTTTCATGGGTTGGCGGCGGGTGGTTGTTTGAGGGCGGTTCTTGTTCAACATGTGGTTCTCGCCCTAGCGCCGCGCACATTCGCACTAAATGTTTGCAAGAGTTTCCCTGGTCCTCATGGTTGCCGTACCAGAAACGGTGTTTGGAACGACTCGGGGCTGGCAGGGCGCAACAGTCACGTTGACTCGAGGTGTCGAAGTCCCAGGGATTTCGTTTTGGTGTGATTCAAGATTGTCAAGGCGCAACAATCAGCTTAACTCGTGGCGTTGAAATCCTGAGAGTGCTGTTTGGGCACGCTTCGGGATTTTCCCGCGGCTGTCCCCTAATAGGGCAACTCCCTCACTGGAAGCGTACACTTGTAGGGGCCGGTGACGAGAGAGTTTCGAGGGAGGTGTATTCCAACATCGTTGATGAGTCTTCGGTTTACACTGGTCCTCCTCATCCTCCCTCCTCCTCCTCCTCCTGCTCCTCCACCTCCTTCCTCCTCCACCTCCTCCTCCTCCTCCTTCTCCACCTCCGCCTCCGCCCAGCCAGAGTCTCCAACAGGCTATGTCCAATTGAAGCCGAGTCATGAAAGGCAAGCCCCCGAACTACAGACGGGGCAACGCGATCATCTTGGGGGACCTCCTCCCCTTTAACACGATGTTCGAGCTCGGACCAGAGCTAGGGGAGGAAAAGGAGGAAAAGGATGAGGAGGAGGAGGAGGAGGAGGAGGGGGAGGAGGGGGAGCAGGAGGAGGTGGAGGAGGAGGAGGGTGGGAGGATAACCTCGCCAAGGACAGACAGATGAGCCAGACGAGGAGACAGCACTTGACCAGGTTTTGCCCTGTCTTGACTCGCTCCCCTCCCTCCCTCCGTCCTTCAATTCGAGCTGCTACCAGGGGGGCGCTAGATACTGAACGAGGCCTCTGCTGACACCAAGAAACCGAAGTAGTCTTCAGGGTTGTTCCTCGCTCGAGCGCGACGGTGACGGACCTAAGGAACAGAGAGCCTCTTCCGAGTACGAATAGCGTCCTGGCTGTGCCCCCTCGGCCTCCTCCCTCGCCCCTCCTCTCTCACTCCTCCCTCTTTCCCTCCATCCCTCCTTCCACCCCCTGTTGTCACCTCGATCTGGCACGGAAGAAATGGGAGGACATCAACCGCAGGGCCTGCCCACGAGGTCGTAGTACGATTCCAGGGGGTCGCTCCCGACACCGTTCATGAACATCTTCACATACCTCGCGGCGACGAGCAGAGGCGCCGCGGCGATGGGTTCCTAATCCTGCCTCACGATCCCTCGCTTAGTTTGCATCAATCATAACAGTGCCCCTCCTCCTCGACCTCTTCCTCCCTCCCTCCTCCTTCGTCTCCTTCGCCTCCTCCTCCTCATCATCATCCTCATCCTCATCCTCATCCTCATCCTCATCCTCATCCTCATCATCATCATCATCATCATCATCATCATCATCATCATCATCAGCATCAGCATCAGCATCAGCATCAGCATCAGCATCAGCATCAACATCAGCAGCATCATCGCCATCATCATCCTCATCATCATCACCGTCACCACCAGCAGCATCATCATCAGCAGCATCGTCAACGTCATAATCATCATCGTACTCACTATCGTGCTACCCGTCCTGCCTCGTCCTCTCCCCGTCTCCTCCTTTGCCCTCCACAACCAGCTCACTTTCACTCTCGCACCGTCCCCCGTTTTCCTCGCTTCCTCCTCTCCAGCTCTCCTCAAGACCCCCTCTCCTCCATCTCTATCTCTCACTCGCTCGCTCCCGATAGATTTCCCTATCTGCATGCATGTGTCGTCCGTTGTTTGTTGTGGATATAGAGGTACACACGTACACATAAATCTATACAGAACTTGAGGGTTTGCTTCGCTTCGCCTCGAATCTTAGTCCTGCGTCCACGAAGTGATGAGGCACTGCCCGGAGCGGAAATGTAATGACCTCGAGGCGGGCGTGGGTCATGGGCCAGATGGGGTCTATATGCATATTCACGCCATGGGGAAGGGCATCGTTGCGACGGGAGCGAAGGTGAGGGGTGACGGTCATGACGTCGAGGGTGTGTGCGCTATGACCGCCAGCGGGGCGAAGCCATGTCGCAGCGAGCGCCGCATCCTCTTGACGAGATGCGGCTGTGCTCCAATGTCACACACACACTCCATATAACATTGCCGCGGGAAGAGCCGGGCGGCTGCGTGATCCTCCCATAGCATCATTCCGAGCGACCAAACAGGTCTGACTTTCGTGGTGCGGTTCGGTTCTCTGTATTCCCGCTGGTCTTCTTGAGAACCTTGCACCTGAGAGGGTGCCCACCACGCATCTCAACGCCGAGCGCCTGTAGCGCGGTCACTGTTTGGACTCATTTGCAGGATAGCCTGCTCGCCACATCCCTAGATATCTTGATGCCCCTGGACGAGATGTTCGCCTTACCCGTCGAGATCAGCAGCTTCATGTGCAACTCCATGGCTTCGAACGCGCTGATCATGCAGTTCGATGCGTTCTCAATGATGGTTCTCCTGCTGCCCGTGATCTGCGCCGTGAGACCGTGTGCGTAGACGTCGAGCGAACACCATGGACTAAGCTGCTAAAACACGAGATGGTCGATCTGGAGAGCCATAGCTCCGAGCAGCGTTGCAACAGCCTGGGAGGATACATCGAGCCGCGAATAAGCCTTCCGAGTAGGCGGACCCCCATCTAACGCGGCCCATTTGACACATGCATGGCAAGAACAAGGATAAACTGCCTGGCTTGGAACTGCGCCGTTATCGCACCTTTGACAGCAAGTGACCATCGGACTCTGCCAAAGTATTTGGCAATATCAAAGATGCCATTGATCATGACCCCATCGCAGTCCTCGCTGGCCTCTGCGGGCACCTGGTAACGGGCAACGACGCCTGTGCAGGCCGTCTCTTTGCCGAAGGCAAAGCGTGGCCGCGCTAGGTTGATGACCCATGCCCCGTCGTGGCCGAGACGAGCCCGTGCCCATCATCTGTAGACGCTGACCCAGAACGCAATAGGCCCGAACCCCACCTGCGAGAGGGGCTTCGGCAAGAGGAAGACGCGGGCTTCCAGCGCAGCTGTTGGTCATCTCCCCCGAAGCTCGCACCAACTCGCCGGCCCAACGGGCCAGGGCGTGCTAAGATCTCCGGTACCTGGTTAACAGTATTTCTAGTTCGCGCGCGCGGGGCGGCCCCTGGGGGTCCCCGGACAAAAAGTACCCCGGCAAGGTCCCGGCAAGTCCCCGGCAAGTCCCCGGCAAGGTCGGGTCAGAGATGCCGGAGTTCTGTTACAGGGCCCCAGGACGGGCCAAGAGGTCCCCAAGAAGCCTCCAAGACGGTCCAAGAGGGCCCCGAGACGGCCAAAGATCGCCCGAAGACGCCCAACAGGGCCCCAAGACAGCCCAAGAGGCCTCCAAGACGCCCCAAGGGCCTTCCAAGAGGCCTCCGAAGAGGGCCCCAAGAGGCCAAAATCGTTGATTTTCATTGTTTTTTTTATGTTTTTTGCGTTCTGGCTTTTTCGGCTTCCGGACGCTCCAAGACGGCCCAAGAGGCCCCCAAGACCGCTCCAAGACGGCCCACGAGGCTCCCAAGACGGCCCCGGAACGGCCCAGGAGGGCCCCCAAGACGGCCCAAGTGCCGCCCAAGACGGACCAAGAGGCCCCAAGACGGGCCCAAGAGGGGCTCAAGAGGGGAACCGAGAACTGAAAAATCGAGCCCTCCGCCCCAGAAGGCGCCCAGGAGGCCCCAAAAAGGCCCCAAGAGGCCCCCAAGAGGCCCCCAAACGCCCCAAGAGGCGCCCAAGAGGCCCAAAAGAGGCCCCAAGAGGCCCCAAAACGGCCTCCAAAACTCGGCTAGCCCACAACGGTGCGACAATATGGGCCGGCGGAATGAGCGAAGCGATTAATAAGAAAAGTGCCCTTTGGCCGCCGAGCCCCCCTGCGATGCAAATGCTCAACGCCGCGGGCGCAAGCGATCAGCCACGGGCCAAGTATTCCAAGGAAAGGCGTTGGCTGCGCGCGCGAAGGAAAGGCGTTGGCTGCGCGGCGAAGCTGGGCAGACCGCTGCGCGTCACGCAGCATCGCCCGACCCCCTCCAATTCTTCAAGAACCTCGGCACCATCAGCATCACGCACTGGTTGAGCTTGCCAGGTGCTCTCGGTTCCCCCAGAACATGGCCCGTGAATATGCGATGTCCTGGCGCGCCGAAGACATCGCGCCCTGCTGACCAAGACCTTCGGCGAGGCGGCGCCCCCGCGGCCTGGCGCGATGATGCAGTGCTCCTGGCACATTGCCACAATGCCTGCGCAGCCTTTGCCCAAACCTTTTTGTCGCTCGCATGTTGGCGCGCGCCTGCTCGAGCACGGCGGCATGGGGGCAGGAACTCCACGCGATTGCCTCGAATGTGCTATTTGCCCCAACAAAGAAAGCCGTTTAGTAACGCGCTTTGCTCCGTTGCGCGACAACCGCGGCGGCGCGTCTGAAGTGCCGAGCCACGTCTTGCGCTCGCGCCCTGAATCTGCTGTCAAGGGACCTCTACAGCTCGCTGAAAACACGCCCGAGGGTCGCCGCGACCCAATGCAACGCGACCCGGATTACTCGAGCAAATGCATCGCGGGGCGAACTGGCAGGATAGACAGGGGCCCCCACCCCCCCGCCGGGCCCTGGCCTCGCATCGCCACCGCATCCCCAGGACGTATCGAGGCAGACCGCGGACTTTCCAAAAGCGAGGAAGCGGCTTTACAAAAACGAGGGAGCGGCTTTACGAAAGCGAAGAAGCGTCTTTACTACAGCGAAGAAACGGCTCCAGTGAAGGCGCGCCGCTCGATACATTTCGAGGAAAGACGACGCGTTACCACAGCGATAAGAAAGATTCAGCAAAGCGGGGGAATGGCTGGGGCAAAACTGCGCGCAAAAAATTCGCGCCTCCCATCAAATCTGGCCCGCAAGTTCGCCCGCGGGCCCGGGCCCCGTCGCCGCCGTCGCCGCGACGTTCGTCGTCGCCGCCGTCGCCGTTGCCGCCGTCGTCGCCACCGTCAGCGCAGGCGCCGCCGTCGTCGTCGCCGTCGCCGTCGTCGTCGCCGGGACGCCCGCGCATTCACGTCATTACAAGCGGCGCTTCGCGCGCGACCGCACGCGCCATTGCGCTTGCATCTCCGCTCGTCCGGCGGGGGCCCACGAGGGCGGCGCGGTATTTTTTTGCGCCCACAACTCGTCAAATAACAATGAGAAAACAACGTCTCTGAGTGGCCCTCGAGCCTGGCCAGTCGACCAAGCCTGTAACAGAAGGCCGCATCAGTGACGATGCTGTCCCCGATGCAAGCACCCAAAATGCCGGGTGCACATCGCATCGCGCTGCCGCGCTCGCGCGCGCCGATGCAATGGGCGCGCGGGCCTGCGCAAATCTGAACAACTGCCCGCTTGCCCGCCCCCCGCCGGCGCCCGTGGCGCGATCTTGGCACGCTGCGCGGCAATCTAGAACCCGGCGAGCCGGGGCAGCCCGGAACGCCCCCTCCTCATGACCACAATGGCTGGGCCCTTGCCGCAACGGGCCAGGGTGGTGGGGGGGCAACAAAAAAAAACTGCCGCAGGGGCGGGGGGGGGGGCGACTTTGCCAATGGCAACAGGTCGCGCGCACGCGCGCTCTCGCCTCGCACCTGGCTATCCGCAAGCGGAAGGCTGTCCTCCTCTATCGGGCCGCACCCTCAACATAGCGGGAGCACGGCATCCTAGCACGATTTGCAAGCTCCTCCATGCTCGAGGGCATGCCTGCCTTCGCCTAGCCACTGCGTGATGGGGCACCTGCAAACGCATGTGCCAGGGGTCGGGCTGCGTGAGTTTCAGCTGAGGCCACCGGCTGATCTCCTGTCGGGCGGCCACCGACTTGCCTCCGAGCGTAGGTGGGCCCGTCAGCTCCGCTCAGCTTGGTGGACGCATCCTGGCACGCTGACACACGTAGGACAACGCCTTCTGCGCGGTGAGGACGCTGCTGCGCATGGCGCCCAGCCTGTGCTGCTGGCTTTCCGGAGCTGCTGCCCCTTGATCGGCATCCTGCTTCGCAGAATCCAGCCGAGGCTTCTCAGGCGGCGGCCCATTCAAACGGCTGCGGAAGCCAGCCCTCGAAAGAGAATGCCTGGGGAACTCACAGGGGCCAGCGAGCCCCCTCACCCCGCGCGCCCTCGGCGCCTGCTTCAGCACGACCACCGCGGGAAAGCGCGACCGAGCAGGCCATCCTTGAGCGCGCTCGGCTTGGCGCATGAATCTGCCAACCCCATCTGAGACCCTCCAATAAACGCAATTCGCGTCGTTGCCACTGGGGGGCCGGGACCTGCGCGCACCAAGATCGCCGCGCACCGTGCCCCCCTCAGCTTCCGCGGGGTGCCCGAGGTTTTGACAATCCTCGGGTCAGCGATCCAATCCGCCCCCACGACGAATGGCATGCCGTCGCAGGCGAGGGTCTCCACCATGCGCCTCAGCCTCTGCCACTTGAAGCTGAAATAAGACAGCCCATCCAAGAAAAATGCCGCACCAGCAATGATGCCACCTCTGAGCGCGAAGTCAAAGTGCACGATGGCTGCGCGCCATGGTAGGAGCCCGCGCCTGTCCATGGCGCGGCCCCCCGCAAAGTTATACCAATAAGATTCCCCACAAAGAGCTCAAACCCAACCGATAACTTGCCATGCTCCGTGCGCCTCGCATCTGTAACGAAAGCCTGCCACGCGTGTAGGGCGGCGCACTCTTCCGCATGCAAAGTGGCGTCGCCCCCGCCAGCCCCTGGGCTGCAACGACCAGGATGCCGCCAGCCGCCTCCTCGATGAACTGTCTCGCCTGCCCACACGGGCAGATTGATGGCGACAGAAGCAACCGGGTCGCGCTCCGCGCGGCGCGGCCCACGAAGAGAAGAACACTGTGATTCCACCATGCCAGGAAACTGAAGCCGCGCACCCCCATGCGTGCTGAACACCGCCAGGCTCTGCATTGGGAGGGGGCGAATTGGAGAAACAGGGGGGGCTCCTGAGGACGACCGCCTCCATGAGCCTGAAACGCGCGTATTGCACGGGCTTCCACTGCTTGCTGCCGTGGCTGAAGAACTGCTGATGCTGTTGCAACACCCTGCTGGGCTGTCTCGGGAAAGAGAGATGCGATAAGGTCCTGGAACCTCGCTGTGATGGCGGCAAAAACGCCTTTTTCTGACCCCTGCGTGGCATCCTGGAACCAAGACCTCGTTGATCTGTTTTGCAGCACGTCCCCGATAGCGTCGACGTTGAACGCTTGCTGCTGCGGTGTTGCGACCATGGTGGCATGTCTGGCTTCGGCAACTTCAGCCTGGAGCGCTGCGAGCCCTGGATGTAGTGCATCAAGCGTTGCATGTTTCTTGCCTGCTGACTCCTTTTTCTTTGGCAGGGGGCGATCCCAGGCAGAACAGAAGCGATCCTCAGGACTCCTGCGGGCTTAACCTACTTGGTCTGCTTCCACGAGGCTGGCCCTTGCTGCGGCAACACATGGGTGGTCATCAGTGATTCCCAGCCTCCTCGGCGCTGCCACGGCTTTCTTGGCGTTCGACCGCCCAAACTCCTCGGTGGACCGGTCTCTGCCGCACTGCTGGCAGATCTCGACTGACCTGAATCTCGTGAGATACCTGCACTGCCCCGTTCCGTCACAAGCCCATGCGGAAGACGTGGAGACTCGTGGGGCCCATGGAGCGCCAGCGCTGCCAGGAGACCCAGCATGAGCGGGCGCGTCGGCCACCGCTGCCGCCGCAACAAAGCCGTGCTGCCGACGAAGGCGAGCGCGAGCCTGCTGCACACGCAGACTGAGCACAGATTGGCGTCTGGCCGTCCTCAGCCGCCGTTGGGGATCGGGCGCGGCACGGCGCCGCAAGCGAGGGAGGTACTTTCTCAGACGCAGCGTGAAATCCGAAGGTGCTGGGGGCGTGGAAAACATCGCACGCACTGCCACATGCCTGCAGAGCCAAACCCGATGAAAATGATGATGATGATGGTGGTGATGATGATGCTGATGATGATGCAGATGATGATGCAGATGATGATGATTTTGATGATGATGATGATGATGGTGATGATGATGATGATGATAATGATAGTGATAATGAAAACGACGCAGATGATGATGATGATGATGATGATGATGATGATGATGATGATGATGATGATGATGATGATGATGATGACGATGACGAGGATGGTGGTGGTGGCGGTAGTGGTGATGACGGTAATACTGAGGATGATGGTGATGGTGCTGATGATCGTGACGATGATGGTAATGGTGATGATGCGAATGCTGATGTAATGTGGGTAATGATGTGATGATGTGATGATGATGATCGTGCTGATGATGATGACGATGATGGTGATGAGGGGGGGATGAGGAATATGATGAGGATGATGACGAAGACGATGAGGATGACGACCACGATAATGGTGATGATGTGGCTGATGATGATTATGCTGATGCAGGTACAACTGCTGATGATGTGATGGTGGTGCTGATAATGAGGTTAAGGAAGGTGATGGTGGTGGTCATGATGATGATGAGGATGATGGTGACGGTGGTGGTGGCGATGCTGATGATGATGATGGGTAATGCTGATGATGCTAATCATGATGATGTGTACGTTGTTGATGATACTGATGATGATGAGGATGCCGATGCTGCTGATGATGGTGATGATGACAATGAGGATGCGGATGATGACAACCATGATGCTGATGATGACAACAACAGCCATGATGATGACGAGTATGATGCTGACAATGGCAAGGATGATGCTGATGATGATGGCCATGATGATGATGATGATGATGATGATGATGATGATGATGATAGTGGTGGTGATGATGATGTTGATGATGATGCTGGTGTCGGTGATGACGTTGATGATGATGTTGATGATGATGATGCTGAGGAGGAGGATGATGATGGTGATGATGATGATGGTGATGATGCTGATCATGCTGATGGTGATCATGCTGATCACGACGACGAGGATGTGGAAGAAGAAAGGGTTGGAGGATAGGAAAGGAAAGGAGAGCAAAGAAGAGGAGAGGACAGGAGAGGAGAAGAGAAGAGAAGAGAGGAGGAGGAGCAGGAGGAGGAGGAGAAATAACCCAGCACACAGGAGGGTTGGGCAATCACCTCTGGGATCCCTGGCCCTGGGGCCCCTCGGACGCCCTTGCAAAGCGTTCCCCATGCCTTCCAGGCCTCCTGGACACCCCTGCAGGGCGGCCAAACTGCCCCGCGACAACCCATAGCGGCCCCGGACACCCCTCAGAGGCCCGAAGACGGCCCGATGAACACCCCCAGGGGGCCGTCGAACCTTCAAAAGCAGTGTTCATGTGTTACTGCTCGTCCCAGTTGCTTGGTTCTCGGCTCCTTCGTCTTTCGGGCGATCGAAATTGCGTCAGAGGTCCAGAAATCGTCCCAAAACGATCGCAACGGGCTTCCAAACAGACGAAGGAAGACGACCCAAGATGCTCGAAGACGCCCCCTGAAGCATTCCAAATCGTGACCCCGCCGTTGAGGGAGACCCGGGTTCGCAGCAATGTGGCCCGAAGAAACCCCTAAAAGCCCAAGGCGCCCAGGAAGATTCCAAACGCATCCAAGAAACCTGGAAGTAATTACTGTGAGAAGAAACGTTCCAAACAGGAGCCTCCGCGACAAAAACTGGGGATGACGGGAAGGGATCTCAGGGTAGCGCGACAAAGAGGAAGAGGAAACACCAGGGATGGCGGAGGAATATCATTAGAACAACGGTGGCGAAAAAACGCAACAAGGAGTTGTCGCTATGGTTGATGGGTTATCTCTCTCTCTCTCTCTCGTCCCGCCTGCATGCCGAACTCGAGAGACTGAGATTCATGGTGCGAAGCGACAATATAGCCTTGTGTGTAGATACACACATACACGCAATGCAAGTTAATATGTGTGCATGTAAGTAACATGCAGATATCCAGAGGGAGAGCAGGAAGACGGACAGAGAGAGAGAGATGGATATAGAAAAAGAAAAGGATTTCTGTGATAACAGAAGAAACGAATCACTATACGGTAATGAAAAGAAGTGAAAGGAAAAACATGGGATAAAGAGAGACAGGGGAAGCGAAACAAACGCAACATCATAGGGATGGGAAGATGGAGAAAGAAAGAGAGCGCATACAGTGAGCGACAACACGATGCGCGCATACTCAAATTGTCCAATGCCCTGCAATCGCGGCGCCACTCTGCGAACTCGGAGAAGGTAACGGCGCCGCTCTTGTCGGCATCAATGTCCGCCCAGAACTGCTTCATCATCCTGTCGCTCACCTCGCTGGCTCACGCAGCGGTTGCCACGCGGGATAGGAGGAGAGGAAAGGGATGGGAGGGAAAGGACGAGGAGGAGGAGGAGGGGGAGGACGAGGAGGACAAGGAGGAGGAGGAGGAGGAGGAGGAGGAGGAGGAGGAGGAGGGAGGCCGTCCTCCTGCCGTTCGCTGCCCTTCAGAACTGCCGCAACGCCCCTTCCACCGCAACTCGTGCCGACCCCTTGCTGCCCGCGCAGTGGCAACACACATGCTTGGCATGAGAGCTGGGCGCGCCCCAAGCCCGCGCGACGCGGGGGCGACGAGCAGCCAAGCAGAAGAACACATTGCAAAAACGCTGTTCGCGGCTCTCCTTTTCGTAGCGATGAGCACGGGCCTGCTCGGAGGATGGCACACGAAAGGCGCGGCCAGAAAAAAGAAGACTGCTGGCGGCGAGGCGCCGCTAAACCGGGCGAAACTCGTGTGCTAAAGTCATGACGGGGCAACGAGGGGGGAGGCATCTGCCTGGAATCGGCGATGCATCGCCGATAGCTCGGCGATAGGCCTCTGATAGTGAGCCCGCACCTTCCTGGGCAGGTTGGGGCTATCGGGGCTATCGGGCCACTATCGGCGACCAATGGGCGACTGGGGGTCGATGCACGCCCCCTGTGCCCGTCCCCCCCTTATCGTTGCCCCTGCAGACACCGTCGTGGCCCAAAGGGGCGGGCGCAAAGTCGCACGGGGCAGCGGTAAGGGAGCGGACTTGACGAACGGCCAGGCGCAGGCGTGGCACCCCCGCACGCGCGCACCGCCTACGGTGCTGCGGGGAGCGCCTGTCCAGGAGGTCGCCGCGCGGCCCGCCCACCACGAAATCTGCCGACCCCTTGGGGTTTACGGCGCGTGAGACCTCTGCCTCTCCCAAGACCTGTCCCCGCGGGGCTCCGCCTGGCGGGTTTGGAAGGACGGGGGGGGGGCTTGGCGAAAGGGGAGGGGGGCCCTGCGGCCACTGCAGCCTCGGAAACGCTCATGGTCGGTCTCCGACGGCTTCGCAGTGGCCCCCGCGCTTGCCCAGACGATCCGGGATGGCACCCAGTCGCCATGTGATGGCTTCAAGGAAGCCCAGGAAGCCTCCAAGACGCCTCCGAGAATCCTCCCACGAGGGCCCCCACAAGCCAAACTTTGCCCATTCCCTTTTCTGGAAAACCACAATTTTTGGCAAACTGCTCCTGAGGCCCAGACCAGTGACCCAAACCCGCCTAAGAAGCCTCAAGGAGGGACCTACGATAGCTCCAGGCGGCCCCGCCACGGCCCAAGCGACGCCCAAGACAGCCCAAGAGGACCCCAAAATGGGCTCAAGACCGCCCAAGATGGAGCCATGACGATCCAACACGGGCCCCACCCAGCCCAAAATGGGCCAAATACAGCGCGCCGGGCGCCGCAGACCGCCCAGGAGGGCCCCCGGAGTCCGTGGAGACGCCCCCAGAGGCCCCCCAAAGAACTCCCCACAAGGACCCCAGCAAGCCAAAATCCGCCAACTCCCCCAACAAAAACCGCCCTTGTTGGCAAACTGCTTCAGATGCCCTGGCCAGCGACCCGTGACGAGCAGAGAGGCTTCGCACATGGCCCTACGATAGCTCCCCGTGGCCCCTGGCCAGCCCAGGAAACGCCCAAGATAGCACTGAAGACCTCGAGCAAGCCCCACGACAGCCCACGATGGCCCCGGACACCCCACAAGGAGCCCTGGTGAACCCAGAATGAGCCACTACGGCCCGCAGGGCACAGCTGACGGCCCCAGAGGGCCCCCGGGAAGCCCCGTAGACGCCCCGAGATGATTCCAAGGGGATTCCCACGAGAGCCTCCGCAAGGAAAAGCTGCCCCATTCCATCAGGAAAACTGGCATGCGGGGCAAACTGCTTCCAAGGAAAGCCCCCAGCATCGACACGAAGCGGACCAAGAGGCCTCGCAGAGCCCCTACAACCGAGGGGACGCCGAGAAGGGCCCACGACGGCCCAAAATGGTACAACGACGGCCAAACAAGGGCTCTTCCCAAATCAAGATGGCCCAAACGCGGCCCACAAGGCGCCACAGACGGCCCAGGCAGGCCCCAAAGGGGCTTCTTCATGATCCCAGATGGCACCCAGTCGCCCCAATAATACTTCTGCCCACGCCTACGCGAACTCCGACTGTCGTTTCTGTGGTTACGCACGCACGATTGCGCGCGGCAGTCACCGTGGACCCAGAAAGACAAGCCCAAATCGTGTGCTCGGCCCTTCCCCAGAGCAACAGCCGTCGTTCAAACGCGCGCATGCTCATCCTGATGCCGGACACGTCCGAAGGGAGAAAGTGTTGCCTTGCACGGTCTGGGGCCCAGAATTTTGCAGCCCGAATGCCCATCCTCACAGCGGACAGGGCGCACCCGAAAGGACACGATGATGCTGCCTTGCACAACCCGAGGCCCCCAAAACGTGAAGCCCGACGTTGGCCTCCCTTGTCCCCCGCCGCAAGCCAACCTCCTCTGGCCCAGTGTCCTCCTTCACCTCCTCCACCCCCTCCTCCTCCTCCGCCTCCTCCTACTCCTCCTCCTTCGCCACTGCCTCTTCCCCCTCTTTCGCCACCGCCTCCTCCTCCTCCTCCTCCTCCTCCTCCGCATTTTCCTTCTCCTCCTCCTCCTCCTCCTCTTCCTCCTCCTCCTTGAAACGCCGAGCCCAGCGACCACCAGAAACGCGCCCAGAACGTGCGGAAGGGTTCTGCACCCAGGGCCGCGGATCGAACGAACGATCTCGGCAGACCCCTGAGACCTCGACAGCGCCGAAGATACGTTGGGTTTGCCGTTCTCTGTGGCTCGTTCGTGGCCTGGGCGTGTGCCCTGGGAGGGCCCGACTGGCGGGGGTCAGTTCGGAGTGCCACGCGCTGGTGACTTGGGAGGATCGAACGGTAAGAACCCAATGGGCTCACCACACGTTCGTGGCCTGGTTCTCGTCCTGGGAGGCCTCACATAATGACGATCGCATGGCCCTTCCACACGTCCGCGACTTGGAAAGACTCTGGTGGTCAGAATCTGGTGGCGCTGCCACTTCAAGACCTGGCGACGCTGCAAACATGTGTCGCAAGGACCCCATGTTTCTACAACACGTCCGTGACCTGGGTCGCTAGCAGTATGGAAGATATGTTTATAACGGGCCATGGCCGTTTAAACCACGAATGTAGGCCACACTGACGCGAGAACTCGAGTCGTGCAGAAATCGTGAAATTTCACACGACATGCCGATTTCAGCAATGCGTCCAGCACCGGCGTCCTCCCTTTCCCTGGACCCCGGCGGGACGTTTCTGCGGTTCCGCTTGCCTAACAGTGGGCACGTGGAGGAGGTCGGGGGCAGCATGAAGCACACAGAACCTCACGTGCGACCCCGCTCGGCGATCAAGCGGGCACGGGACGGGGAATGAGAAAGTACAGAGCGAATCCGCCGAGCCTCCTCGTCCTAGTCCGTCCTCACCACTCACCACCTCCTCCTCCTCCTCAGCCTCCTCCTCCTCGACCTCGTCCTCCTTGTCCTCTTCCTGCCCTCTCCCTCCACCTCCAAGGCACCCAAAAAGACGAGACTCGCGAAGGCCCACGCAACGTGGAGGCACGCCGCCAAATAAATGCCTTCAAACTTCTGGAAAACGGGAAACGGCCAATCATCAAATCCCCCTGCGTGGGATCAACCAAAGCTAGGCGTTCAAGGATGCGGATTCAGCCCAAGACGATCCGCGGAACGCCTCCTGTGGGGACACCGAGGGCATGCTCGAACACTCTTGGGCAGTCTGGGGGCCCTATTGGAGCACTCTTTGGGGCCGCTACTCTCTAGTTCTCTATCCCCCAGCTCCCGGCCACGCTTCCTTGTAAACGCTGCCCTCTGCCACTGCTTGGGCGCCCGAGACGCTTCCCGGCGAAACACCAAAGGATCGGCGGATGTGGTGTAAACCTGTCAGAAATCGAATGTAAAAAGTGATCCTGAATTCTGCGAAACGAGCGTCTCCTTGTCCAGGCAAGCCGAGTAGGCCGAATTGCGTGCAGGCGAGACTCACACACAGGGCTGCAACAGACGTAGGCCCAGTAAAACAGACACAGACAGTCACACATTCACACATTCACACGCACACACACACACACACACACACACACACACACACGCACACGAACACAAACAAACACAAACACACACACACACACTCACACACACACACACACATGTCCACAGATTCACACACACACACACACACACGCACACATGGAAGGGCGAGCGCCGCACGCAACACTAGCTGCACCCGTGCAGCCAAAGCGGCATCGGACAAGACGTCTGCAGCCAGACCGTCCAATCCCCAAACACACAGCGAAAAGACCACAGACCGCGTTGCCAGCTACATCCCGCTGTCTAGAAGCATCCGAAGCGCATAATCTCACACCGCTGGAGCGGTGCAATCTGCGCCACACTGCAGCGACGATAAAAAATGCCCTCAGGCGGTCGGCTGTTCGTTCGCCGATGCCGCCACTGTCGGAGGACGTGAACTGAGCTCAGACAGCCCACGCAGCGGAAAAGGGAAGCCATCATCTTTCCGACGCGACAGCCCCGCCAGCAACATCAGTATCGAACATGTTGCCGACGTGCGCCGGCCAGTCACTGGTGCCAAGACGGGGCGAGATGAGGGGGGCAGACGAAGGGAAGTGGGGGAGCGCGACAACAAAAGTGAGACGGGGACGGCGAAGGAAGGGACGCAGGGGGGCAAAGGTTGCCGCAGCACTGCTGTGCTGGCTGACGCCCATCGCGTGGCAAAATAAGCTATCAGGAAGCCTGTCGGCGAAGGTCGATGCACCAAACCTTCCCCTAGATCGTCGCCGACACGCCCTGGGGAAAGGAGCGCATTTGAGCATCGTTTATCCGACCCCCCCCCAGCGGCGTGGCCTGGGCCCCATTGGCCGATTTCCCTAGATGGGGACATAGGCCGTTCCCTTTGGATTTCGAGGGGTGCATCCC